CACGAAGGACAGCAATTGCCCACCCGGGGCCCTCGCCCTGCCACGTGCCCTCCTGGGACTCCCCCTGCAAACCCACTGCACCAAGAGCTGTGCTCACGGCACCTTCCCAGAGGGGCTGTGGAGGCCGCCCACCTCCCGGCGCCCACCTCCCGGCACCCACCTCCCGGTGCCCACCTCCCGGCATCCCGCTCCCTGCGCCCACCTCCCCGCGCCCACCTCCCCCTTCTCCCGCTGTCCCCCCTCCAGAGGGCGCATTTCCAAAGACATGAGAACGCTCACATGGCAGCACACGTTCACGCTCCGTCCCGCACAGGCATGCCCGCCCCTCATTGAGCCCCAGCTCACCCCTGGGGCCACGAAAACGTGTGAAATGAGTGGAGGTGTGAACCCCAGCCTTGGGCCCCCATGTGGCCCGCAGGGCAGGTGGGTCCTGGGCAGGGGACAGGCGTGTCCCCCAGGAGAAGGGAGAGAGGAGAGAGGCAGCCTGGGAGTGGGCAGAGCTGTCCGTGGGCAGACATTCCGGAGCACAGGCCGCGAGCCCGCTGGGCGGGGCTGGAACCAGATGTCCCCGCTGCGCCCAGGGCCAGCCCTTCCCCGGCACCTCGGGGCCTTCCGGATGTCTCAGCAGGTGCCGCCTCCTCCGCTCTCCTCCCCCACCTCGGGGCCTTCCGGATGTCTCAGCAGGTGCCGCCTCCTCCGCTCTCCTCCCCCACCGGCTCCAGACCAGGGTCCCCTTAAAGCCTCCTCTTACCACCTCCTCCCACGGTACCCAGGCTTGTCTGTCCCGGGAAGGAAAAGGAAGTCCCTTCCAGATAACTTCCTTGGACGGAGCTTGTAAAAGCACAGCCGACACCGCCACTGGTTGGACTGTGGGTGGCAGACGGACACCTGTCACGCGTGTCCGGCATTTTCTGCAGGGCTGAGACCAGAGCCACCAGGGGTGACGCCGTGGGGCGACAGCCCCTGGGACCACACGTCAGCAAAATCTTTGGGGGCGTCTGCTCAGCACATTCAAACCCTGGGCCCAGCAGGCCCTCCTGGGTGCCACCCACAGACACACATTCTGTGCACGACGTGGCCCCACTAGAATGGGCTGAGCAGCGGGGTGAATGCCCCACCCTGGGGACTGCCGTGGACAGCAGCTGGTGCTGGGGTCGCACACAGAATGCCACCCAGCGGTGAAGGCACCTGGGCCTCGGGAGAGACGACAGTGTTGTGTCAACGTCACCGTTCCCCAAATGACAGGTGTGGGGATGACGTGAGAACGTCCTGGTCCCTAGGAGACTGGGTAGAGGGACTGTGTCTCCAGCCAGCTCTCCCAGGCGGGAAGCCTGCGTCAGAAATACACGCATGTGCGGATGGATGGATGGGGATGAAGGGAGGACAACGGGGACCACAAAGCAAGTGGGGCCAGTGCGGCTGAGTCCAGGTCTCACAGGGGTCCTTGTCCAGTTTTCAACTGCTCTCTAAGTTGTAAACTATCTATACTAATAAAAGGGTAATATGCTAATTAGACTGGGAGACCTTCCAGATGTCCTTCTGGACAAAGCCATGGTGGCGGGGTCAAGGCAAAGGTGGTTAGGGGCAATCAGGCCAGGAGGGGAGGGCAGTTGGGGGCGAGCAAGCTGGTGGGGTGGGGGCAGTTGGGGACGAGCAGGCCAGTGGAGGAGGCAGTTGGGGGCAATCAGGCTATGGGGGGGGCAGTTGGGGGCAAGCAGGCCGGCAGGCAGAGTGGTTAGGGGCAATCAGGCAGGCAGGCAGGTGAGCGGTTAGGAGCCAGCGGTCCCAGATTGCAAGAGGCAGTCAGACATCTCCCGAGGGGTCCCAAATTGGAGAGGTTGCAAGGTGGGCTGAGGAACAACCCCGCCCCCCCCCCCCAATGCACAAATTTCGTGCACCAGGCCACTAGTATGAAAATAAAGCAAAATAGCTGCTAAGGGCAGTGGGGGCTCACAAAGGCCATGGGCCGCCCTGTGGGTGTCAGTGCCCTGCAGCTGACCTGGTGGTTCCACTCCTCGAAAATTCCCAGCAGAGATGGGAATGTGGGTGCTCCCAACGTGGGCGGAATCCCTGCTGCCCCGACTGGAAATGACTCACACGCCCATGGACGAAAGCACGGAAATACACGGGGGTGTCGTCTACCAGCGGACAGAGTTCTACAGAAAATGAGACGCCAGACCCACAACTCCTCGCCGCAGTGCAGACGAATCTCAGGACCTGGCGTTGCACCCAGGAAGCCAGACACCAAATACTTGGGGATCCGGGCAGGGGCGGGGCTTGGGGTGACTGGTGGTGCCCAGGGCTGCTGGGAATTGGCGCTATTCCGCCTGGATCCGGTGCCTGTTCAGGTTGTGCACCTAGGTAGAGCTGAACACTGAGAATTTGTGCCTGTTCCTGTACCCAAGAAATATTTCAATAAAAAGTAAAAAATGAGGAAGTCCAAAAGAAAAAGGCTCCTATATACTTTTTAAAAATAAAAGACAAATTCAGTACTTCACTTGTGGGTACTAGGCCGGAGGGATGCAAAGATAAGGAGGAGGCTGGCCGGCGGGGCTCAGAGGTTGAGCATTGACCTATGAACCAGGAGGTCACGGCTCAATCCCCCATTAGGACACACGCCAGGGTTGTGGGCTCAATCCCCAGTAGAGAGTGTGCAGGAGGCAGCTGATCAATGATTCAATGATTCTCATCATTGATGTTTCTGTCTCTCTCTCCCTCTCCTTTCCTCTCTGATATATATATATATATATATATATATATATATATATATATATATATACATATATTAGAGGCCCAGTGCACAAAATTTGTGCAGGGGGTGTGTGTCCCTCAGCCCTGCCTGCACTCTCCAATCTGGGACCCCTTGGGGGATGTCCGACTGCCAGTTTAGGCCCGATCCCTAAACCAGCAGTGGGACACCCTCTCACAATCCGGGACTGCTGGCTCCTAACCGCTCGCTTGCGTGCCTACCTCATTACCCCTAACTGCTCCCTGGCCGGCCCCATCACCCCCAAATGCCCTCCCCTGCCAGCCTGGTCACCTCTAACTGCCCTCCCCTGCAGGCCTGATCACCCCTAACTGCCCTCCCCTGCAGGCCTGATCTCGCCCCCAACTGCCCTCCCCTGTCAGCCTGATGGCCCCCAACTGCCCTCCCCTGATGGCCATCTTGTGACGAAGTGAGCGCAGCCGTCTTGTGATGACATCGCACGAGGGCATGACGCCACCTAGGCTTTTATTATATAGGATATGTAGGTAGATAGATAGATAGATAGATAGATAGATAGATAGATGATAGATAGATAGATGATAGATAGATGATAGATAGATAGATAGATAGATAGATAGATAGATAGATAGATAGATAATAGATAGATAGATAGATGATAGATAGATGATAGATAGATAGATAGATAGATAGATAGATAGATGATAGATAGATAGATAGATGATAGATAGATAGATGATAGATAGATAGATAGATAGATAGATAGATAGATAGATAGATGATAGATAGATGATAGATAGATAGATAGATAGATAGATGATAGATAGATAGATAGATGATAGATAGATAGATAGATAGATAGATGATAGATAGATAGATAGATAGATAGATAGATAGATAGATAGATGATAGATAGATAGATAGATAGATAGATGATTGATAGATAGGCATATACATAGATATACAGATAGATAGATATAGACGAGATGTCCCAGCCTCTGGGGAGCACGGCATCCGTGGGAGCCTGGCAGCACCATGGGGCTGGGCTGTGAGGGACCAGCTGGCACCACCCTTCCACACCAGAGAGCAGGGCCCTGTGCCCACAGTCCCTGGAGGACCACAGCAGATCCACAGTATCAGGAGACACACTGGACGAAGGGCTGGCACATACAAAGCCTGGTGACATGAACCAACACCCGCCTGCCCAGGCCCAGCTACATACGGTGCCCGCGTCTCCAGCGCCACCCTGATGGCAGGGAAGCCCCCAGCTGCTGCCCCGCAGCTGAGAGCCCAGGCTCACTTCCTCCCGAGGCCGGCCCCGCCTCCGGTCCACAGGAACCACCATCCTTGGACGTGGTGTGAGACGTTCAGCTAATCCTGTTCCCCATCAATGTTCCCAACCCGACAGGGAGGAGGCCCGTGGTCCAGCCCCATCCACATTCCTCCACGGGGCGGCCGCACCTCGGGCCTGGGCGCCGACCCACATAGCTGGGTGCTCCCATGCACACCGGGGGCCCGGAATCCGAGCCAGGGCACCGCGCGAGGGGCTCACCCCCACCCGGGGCTCCGGCGGCCCAGGGCAGCCCCTCCGGCCGGGCCCTGGTGGGGCCCCTGGCGGGCAGTGACCCACAGGGATCCGGCCGGCCGCCTGGCTCTGGAATTCTCCAGTGAATAAACAGGACCCAGTTGGGACACCTGTGTGCCTGCCGGCGCTGACTCTCCGGCCGAGAACTCTTTCTCAGACACGAAGGAAGGAAAATAATAACAAAGGACGCGGGAATGAAACAGCCCGTTGGGCAGGTGAATTTTCAACCCACATCCTCAGCCCCACTGTGGCCCAGCAGAAACTGACTTGCCGGGGAGGTGGCTGGGCGCCCTCACCACGCAGGAAGCCCGAGGCCCTGCAAGACCACGCAGCACAGCGACGCGACCACGCAGACCGGCCACTCCCGCGTCAGGCCAGATGTGGCGGACAGCAGCTGGGGTCGTTGGCCAGTCATGACATCATTTAGTGCTCTAGCAGAGAAAGGAGGGGCTGCCTTATACACCTCCCAGGGGCAGAAATTCCCCGGCTCCCAGCCAACAGGTCAGGACAGGCCTGAGCCCTGGCTGCCGCAGCGGGGGTGGGGGGATGGCAGGGCGAGGCGCGGGGAGGGCCCCCAGGACAGGGGCTTTGAGTGCGCTCCATTCAAATACAAGCCGTTTCCGACAGACAAGTCCCAGTGTGCCCAGGGGAAGGAGGGCCTCCTGGTGTTGGGGCGGAGGGCTCTGCAGGGAGGCCTGGTGGGGAAGCCGGGGCGGAGTCAGGCTGCGCAGGAGGCAGCCCGGAGGGCGGGGCCCCGGAACAGCGGCCCAGGGGCGGGGCCGGTTTATAGCAGCAGCCGGGGTGCCGGGCACACTGGAGCCACCCACCGAGTCACCGGCAGCATGCTCCCTGCCCTGCTCCTCCTGCCCAGCCTCCTGGGGGCCGCCCTGGCCGGCCCCGTGCAGGGCTCCCTGGAGTGCACTCAGGGCTCTGCCGTGTGGTGCCGCGACCTGCAGGCCGCAGCCAGGTGCGGGGCCCTGGGGCACTGCCGGAGCGCCGTCTGGAGCAAGCCCAGCGCCAGGACCTTGCCCTGTGACATCTGCCTGGATGTGGTGGCTGCTGCCGGCAACGGCGCGAACCCCAACACCACAGATGCCGACGTCCTGGCTTTGGTGACGAAGACCTGCGAGTGGCTTCCCAGCCAGGACTCTTCGGCCAAATGCAAGGAGATGGTGGACGCCCACAGCTCGGCCATCCTCAGCATGCTCGGGGGGGGCCCGGGCAGCGCCCCCCCACAGGTGTGCACTGCGCTCACCCTCTGCCAGCCGCTGCAGAGCCTCCCGGCCACCCCGGGGCCACTCTCCAAGGAGGACACGTCCGAGCTGGTGGCCCCGTTCATGGCCCACGGGCCGCTCAGCTTCCACCTCCCGCCGATCCCTGAGGACCCCGTGTGCCAGGACTGTGTCCGGCTGGTCACCCGGCTCCAGGACGAAGTGGGCTCCAACGTGTCCGCGCTGGCCGACGTGGTCACGCGGGAGCAGTGCAAGTCCCTGGGGCCCGACCTGGCTCTCATCTGCAGGGACTACATCCTGAGGTTCCTCGGCCCCGGGGAGCACATGCTGAAGCTGGTCCTGCCCGAGGAGACCTGCGAGAAGGGCGGCTTCTGCGAGGAGCTGCAGGTGCCCGCCGAGCTCGTGGTCCCCCCGCTGGAGCCGCTGTCTGTGGGGAAGAGGACGGAGCTGCAGATGCAGGCCGGCCTGACCTGCGAGGTGTGCCTGCAGGTGATCCAGGAGATGGACCAGTGGCTGGACTCCAACAGCACTGAGGTCCTCATCAGCCAGGCGCTGGAGCGCGTGTGCTCCGTGATGCCCGCGTCCATCGTCCAGCAGTGCGTCACCATGGTGGACGCCTACAGCCCCTCCCTGGTGCAGTTTGTGACCAGGGTCCCCCCGGAGAAGGTGTGCAAGGCCATCCGACTCTGCGGCGGCGGTGGCCGGCGGCGGCGGGCCCGGGCAATCCACGGGCCCCGCGCCACCCTCCTGCCGCCCTTGCTGGACAGGGACAACCAGGGCAGCTTCTGCAATGGCTGCAAGCGGCTGCTGGGCGTGTCCTCCCGCAACCTGGAGCGCAAGAGCACCAAGCGCGGCATCCTGCAGGCCTTCAAGGGCGGCTGCCGCATCCTGCCGCTGCCCTACATGATCCAGTGCAACCGCTTCGTGGACGAGTACGAGCCCGTGCTCTTCGCCACGCTCTCGGAGATGATGGACCCCGCCGCCCTGTGCGCCAAGGTGGGCGCCTGCCATGCCCCCCGGGCCCCGCTGCTGGGCACCGACCAGTGCGTCCTGGGCCCCAGCTTCTGGTGCACCAGCCCGGAGGCCGCCCAGATGTGCAACGCCCTGGAGCACTGCCAGCGCTTCATATGGAAAGTGATGCCCTTCAACACCGGGGAGCCCGAGTGCCCCCCCAGGGGGCCCTCCTCACCCTGAACCCCCCGGAGACCCCACTCCCGTCTCACAGCAGAGAACGGAGGCTCGGGCGGGAGGCTGCCGAGGAGCAGGGCTGAGGCGCGGATCCCCATCCTAACGACAGTGCCCGTGGCTCTGCCCTTGTAAGTCTCCCCCAGACCGGAACCAGCTGCCGGGCCCGGCCCCACCCTGGCCACCTGCCCCTCAGCCTCCGTCGCTGTGATGGGCTGACCGCGGGGCCTGTCACGGCCTGTGGTGCCCCCTCTGTTCTCTGCTGACGAGCGCCCAGCGGGGAGCCCGGCTGGGTGAGCGGAGGCAGGGGAGGGCGGGGCAGAGGGGCCATCACAGGAGGGGCTCACGCCTCTTGTCCAGCAGCTGGGGGCAGGGGCTGTGTCTCATCCACAGCCACCCCCACTTGCTCAGGCCAGCGCTTCTCGACCCGGGGTCCTTGGGGAGGCCCCGAAGGTGTGTGAGGTGTGTCTTTCTGGGGAGGAGGCTGGGACTCTGCAGCTCCCAGGGGAGCCGGGCTCAACAGGCCTTCCCCCGCCTCAGCCCACACGGGACCCAGACATCCCACCGCCCTGGTCCCAGGCAGAGGGGAAGCCTGCGCTGCCCTAATGAGGAGAGGAAAATTGTGCCGGGTCTGGAGTGGCTTCTGGGCTGTGGAGCCTTTCAGGGGTGAGCCAATCTTTTCACCCGTCGGAGCCTCGGTTTTCCAATCTGTAGAATGGGGTGATTACACACGTCTTGTGGGGATGGTGACACAATTCAAAGAGAGCTTCTCCCCCAGGGACCACACCCGTCCATCAGCCGAGCCCCACAAAACCTGGCTCAGGTCCCCAGGAGAATCTGGCTGCACAAGCGCGGAATAAACGGAGCTTCTCCAAACGCCGCCTGCCATGTCCTCATTCCCCGGGCAGGCCTGCTGCCCGGGCCCAGCAATCGCCCTCCCTGCCTCCCAGGGTCCCCTCCTGTGGGAAGCCCTCCTGCACTGGTTTAGCCGCCGGATGTTTCTCTCCAGTGTTGTATCGTCACCGGTCTCCTGTACCCCCCGAGCCCCTGGGGACAGCCCGAGGGAGACCCCGCTGTCTCTCGAGCCCACACAGGGACTCAGGCCTTTGCGTGTCCCTGAAGCCTGGCTGGGTAATGCCTAGCAGCCGCCTTCAGACAAATCCTGTGGAACGAGAGGAAAGGTGCCCAGCCGGGGTGGGCAGAGGAGAGGTGCCCAGCCGGGGTGGGCAGAGGAGAGGTGCCCAACCGGGGTGGGCAGAGGAGAGGTGCCCAGCCGGGGTGGGCAGAGGAGAGGTGCCCAGCCGGGGTGGGCAGAGGAGAGGTGCCCAGCCGGGGTGGGCAGAGGAGAGGTGCCCAGCCGGGGTGGGCAGAGGAGAGGTGCCCAGCCGGGGTGGGCAGAGGAGAGGTGCCCAGCCGGGGTGGGCAGAGGCCTGAGCGGGTGCCCTTTTCCGAGGGGCTACATCCGAGCCCTTAGTGAATGTCCCAGACCCGGCCACTGCCCAGGACACAGGGGAGCTGGGCCTGAGTTTCTGGGCTCCTCCGAGCTGGTTCACGCTGGCTGGACCGGGGCGGCCCTGTGAGGGCCCAGATGTGGCCATGGATGGCAGCTCTGCATCCAGTTCCACACACAGGTGTCCGGGGAGTCATGAACTTGCACACTGGGGGCTGATTGCAAACCGTGGTCCCAGGACTGGCCCACGCTCCCCAGGGCTGGCCCACGCTCCCCAGGGCTGGCCGTCATGTGACGGGTCAGTTCCCGGGGCTGTCACTGGTCGGCATGGCCGGCCTGCGACAGGCCGGGCGGTGCCGCCACATCTCCCTGGTGACCCATCCACGCAGCGATGAGATGCCGCAGGCCCCGCCAGCCCTGAGCTCACCACCTTCCCAAACCAAGCTCCCTGTGCTGGGTGGGTGGTGGGGCCCCCACATGCCCTTCCCTCTGCCCACCCACCCAAGACTGGGGACCAGCTACAACTGAGGGTCAGCTCAGCCAACGCGCCCGTGTGTCTGTCCTCCCAGGACAGTGAGCAATGGCCACCTATGGAGGGCTTCCCACGTGATCAGCAGGCACTGCCCAAGAACTCAGCCGGACCTCCCTCCTCCCCCTCCACAGCCACCAGGAGGAAGACGCCACTCTCATCCCATTTCACAGGTCCAAACAGACCAGAGAGGTCAGTGCCTGGCCCAAGGCCGCACAGCCAGCAGGTGATGGAGCCAAGAGTCTAGCCCTGTGTGTCGGACCCTCACACCCACTGCACCCAGCTGGGCTGGAGTTCAAGTCCTGACTCCCCCACCCGTGACCTCTGCCTCTGTCTTCTCATTCCTAAAATTCCTAAAGGGGCCACCCCACCTCCGGAAGGGCGGGGTCGTCGGCCGGATGGTGACAGTGCGTGGGAGAGGCCAGCTCCGTGCAGGCCAGCGTCAGGGAGGGGGCTTTTAAATCCCCTCCTCCCGCCAGACCTCTGTCTGTCTTTCCAGGGTTCAAAGGGACTGTTTTCCTCTCGCAAACCTCCCTCTTAATTAACACCCGGGGATTGGGGGGGGAGAGGGGTGGGGGGAAGTACAGCCACCTCACCGCCCCAGCAGCGCAGCCCCCACCTCCCCCAGCAGCCCCCCAGCAGCGAGCCCCTTAGACACTCTTATTGTTTCCCTCATCAAATTCCTTTTAGGTCGAAGCTGGGGAGGAACATTGGCTGAGGCTGAGGCTGAGGCTGAGGCCAGGAGAGGGGCAGGCAGGGACGCAGGGACGCAGGGCCCCCGGGACCCCGGCCTCAGGGAGCCCTGTGAGGTCCCCACGGAGGTGTCCGCCAGGCGAATGGAGGGCCCGGGGCAGCGCCTCCTGGGCTGTTCGCTCAGGTCACCCTCAGGCTCGGGGTGAACTGCGGGCGGGGCACACACGCTCGTCTGCATGGACACCGTGGCATCTTAATCCCCCGCAGCCCAGCGAGGGTGGGCCAGCCGCCCGTTCCTTCTGTCCTCTGCCTCAGTCTCCTCACCTGAGAAATGGCCCCGCAGCCCAAACACAACTCCTGGCTTTGGAGCGCTTTGTACACCAGCCGCGGGGCGCAAGGACGGGCAGGCGCGGGTCTCCATCGGAAAGAACGCAAGTTCCCACCTCCCGCCAACCACCTGCCGGCTCAGAAGCCTGGGCGTCTCTGTGGTTCTCGCCCAGCCCAGGGGGGCCTGGAGTGGCTCTGGCGCTGTGTCCCGATCGGGAGGGGCCTGGGTGTCAGGAAGCCCTCATTTAGGGCAGCGGGAGTGACCGCCAGGAGTTTCACCCCTCCCAGACCAGCTCCTCAGGTCGCCCTGCCAGCGGGCGATGAGGAAAACTCAGGACAGGAGCGGGAACAAGGCCTCCCACAGGCTGCCTCTTAACGTCCTCCTCCTCCCGGAGAAGGAGAGAAGGTGTGCGCGTTGCCCACAGCCAGACCGGCCCACCAAGGACTCCACAGCTCATGGTCACGGTCACGCCCCCGCAAGGGGTGTGGCACCCGGCAGGGTGGATGGCACGCAGCGTGGGGCGGGGCTGGCTGCCTGCCATGTGGGTTTAACAGGATCTGGAATGTGGACGGAGGGTGACAGCAGGGAGGTCGCACGCAGCCCTTGGAATCCTGCCCCGCGTGGGGCTCTGCCTCCACCTGCCCACGCATCCCCCCAGCCCAGCCCACAGGGGCCAGGGTCCCGGGAAGGGTGGGGCTGCCCCCCTCCAGCTGATCCTACACCCCCGGGGAGAAACAGCACCCCTGCCCGCTCCCCAAGAAGGGAGCGCCCACTTCCAGGTGTGGCGGGCAGGGAGCTGGGGGCGCGGGCCTCCACGGGGATGGCAGTGCTGCTGGACACGCAGGGGTGCGGGGGGCAGGGGAGGGGCCGAGGCTGCAGGAGGGAGTGCAAGGGCACAGAGTGGCTGAGAGGCGAGGGCACTCCCCGGGCACCCGTGGGGCACAGGGGGCTTCACAGAGGTGAGTGTGTGAGAGCGGCCCCGAGGCCTGGCCTCCTCCAGGATGGCTCAGCCTCCGCTCTGTCCGGCGCTGTCCGCTGGGGATGCCTGGGCCCCACAGCCCCTCGGGGCCGCCCTCACCCTTTCCACGTGCCCCCGCGCCCTGGCCGCCGCTGACCCGCCCCCAAGGCCGGCCCGGGGCTCCCTCCTCATTAGGTTGGATAGGGCTGTCCCCTCTCGGACCCCCCGGGCCTGGCCGTGGCCTGAGGGCAGCGACCACAGGGAACAGAGGTCAGGGGCAGTGATGGAGGTCAAGGGTCACGCCCTAGAAGGGTGGGTTCCTCCAAAAGTGCACCTGCCCCCCCCAACCCCCCCCCCCATGTCGCCACCTCCCCTCAGCAGAGGTCTGGGAGGAAACAGACCCATTTCCCAGGTGGGCACACGGGCTCAGAAACGCTAGTGCCTGGCCTAACGCCACCCAAACGGCAGAGCTGGGACTCCCCACGTGGCAGAGCTGGTGCCTATAACCTCCAAACTCCACCAATCGCCAGTCTCCACCCCCAAAGCAAACAGCAGCCGCACCCCAGCCCCCGCTGCACAGACCCTACCGAGGCCCACCCACCCGCGCAGGCAGCTCCCTCTCTGCAGGCAGGGCGCCAGGGCCGAGCGCCGCACCGCTGCTCCCACGGCAGCGAAGCCGGCAGCGCCGCGGACCCCCCAACGCACGGGGACCCTCCCGACACTGCTGGCCGCTGCACCCCACGATGCTGCTTGCCCGTAAGCCGGTTTACGGCCCCATCCCTCAAAGCACACTCAGGCGAGGTTCATTACATAACAGAACACAAAGACGGTTTTTCTCATACGCCTTCCACTCAGGGAGTTTTATGAAAATGCACTAAATCTCCAGGGCAGAGTGTGGCTTTAATGCAAAAGGCAGGAGACTGGCTCTGCTCTGCACCCCGCAGGGAAAGGCTGGGGGGCAGGGGGTGCGGAATAGGAGTGGGGAGAGGGTGACGTTCTGGTCCCACGGCAGACACACGGAACAGGATTCTGCACTCAGCTAGGTGTGGAGGGCAAGGGAAGGGGGAGGAGGCTTTGTGGTCCAAGCTCCTTGTCGAATGCCACCTGCCCCTCCCTGCTCCGCTCTGCCAGCGGCCTAACCATGGCTCCTTGCCTCCTGAGGTTGCACCCTCCCTGCCCCCTGAGGCTGCAGCCATGTGATCGCTCTAATGCGTAGCTCCCACCGCCTGCAGCAGAGCGCCATCCTCCGGGGCTGGCGCACAAAGCCCTTGGCCCAACACCCCCTGGACTCGCAGCATCGTCTCCCACCGTCCTCGCTCGCTTCTCCTGTCAGCCCCTCCAGCTTCTTAGGGTCCTCCCATGCCAGGCCTGCCCATGCCTCTGTCTCTGCACATAATGTGGCCTCTGACTAGAGTGCCTTTCCCCTGCCTGTCTGCCCGGAAAACTCCTATGCATCCTTCAAAGCTCAGTTCAGACATCGCCTCCTCTGAAATGCCCACGCACCCTCTCCTGTGGGATCCTCGGCCCTAGATGTTGGTCCCCCACCAGTCTCTTCCTCTCTAACAGCGTTGGTGTCCGGGTCCTGGCCAGGCCTAAGACCCAGCAAAGGGCTAGGATGCTCCAGAGATGTTCACAGAACGCAGTGATCGGACACTGTGACTCAACGTCTCCGGCTCAACCTCAGTATCCCAGCCAGGCCTTCACGTGACCAGAGACACAGAGGCCGCCATCTCTATCCCTTCATGCCCTGAGTGGCCAATGCAACAACAGAGCCCCTAACATGTTCACACCCTGAAGCCTGCAGCTTATGGGCAAAAGGGATTTAGCTGATGTGACTGAATTAAGAACTTGGAGATGGGGACATCGTCTTGGATTACCCGAATGAACCCGATCTGACCACAGGGGTCCTTAAAGGGGAGAAC